CAGCATGGCTGGCTGGGGAATTCTGGGTGTTGAAGTCCACCCATCTTGAAGTTGCCAACTTGGAAAAAACACTGACCTAAATCAGTTCTAACAAGTTGTTCAATCATTGTCACGAGCAGCATAAAAAAAAAAGTCATTCAATATTATTGGCCAAAGATATGTAAAATACTACCCAGCAATCTGTGCATTAAAACAGGCCCTGTTTATCTCCGTATTATCGATAAGAAAAATAAGGAGCAAACTAATCTTTCCAAATAGATTGAAAACATACTTTTTGGGGAGAGAGACCTGTTTGCTGGTTCCAGTTTCAGTCCAACGTGACCTATGACATCGATAAAACTTTTTAGTATGATCGATCTGGAACCAAGCCTGTTAGGTTTCTATATTTCTTACAGGGAATTTCTGGAGACAGGGAAGAGGGATCCTCTTCGTTGTTAAGTTCGCCAAGAAATTAAAGTTATTGGGCAAAATAAGCACAGACACTAACAAAACAGGTCATCAACTGTTACAAGTTCCCAACCATTTTAATCTGTCCATACACTGTGTAAGTAACACCATTTTTTGCATCGTAACCTACAGTATTGCTCATAAGTTTAGCAAACATATTCACGCCTCAAATTAAAGGTAGAACAAAATTCAAGTTGCAAAAATGCACCCATTTTTTATAAGCTTACATACAGACTTAGCAAAAACGTGGGTGTGACGATGACTCATAAAATCACGCAAGGAACATTTTCAAGCAAGGTTTTCATACAGCAAAGTAAAGATTAAACATGCATACAAACACTGATTTTTCAAAATCCTGTATGATATTCACTGGAGGCTTATCTTTAAAATGAAACTGTACTGTCCCAGGAGACGGTGTGTGTGTGTGTGTGTGTGTGTGTGTGTGTGTGTGTGCAAAATCATTTTGCAAATGATACAAACAGCAGTTCGCATCATTTGTGAATGGTATCAGGAGGTACAATCCAAAATTGCTTCTGTTAATAAGCACCTGAATCTCTTGATAAAGACATTTAAGAACTACGCTTGCTACTACCTAGGATCAAATAATTAAAAACAAACGTTACTTAACGAAGATATCGGTTGGGTCTACTGAGATAAGAACCGGGCTTCAGGTAAAGGTGTGACTGTAACATGAGAAGTGTTTTAATTTGGACAAGACAGGTACTGACACCACTGTTGAAATTACTATTCCAACGAGGGGAAAAAAAAGACCCTGATCCCACTGGATATGCAGACATCTAAGCGTTTCTCTGGATGTGCACGCAGATTCTTATTTCAGCAGAGACAGAAATCTGAAACAGAAATCAACGAACAGGCCCTCTTTGAAAAAAATGAGCTCTCTGCATCCATAAATGCAAGGAAAAAGGTAGTTTTACTCATTTCCCCTCAGTTTCTTCTGCTCCCTGCGGACTCCTACTCGCTGAAGGACTCTGGGTCGTAACATCTCTTCAAAACATCTCTTCCCCTGAAAAGATGAAAGTCTATCCTAAAATCAAACATTGCGTCGTTTGAGCAGAATCTGGTCTATACTATGAACGAGCCCAACCGGGGACACTCCAAATATTGTTGAATGACAACTCCCAGTATCCCAAAGAAGCAGGGCCAGTACTGAGGAATGCTGGGAACTGTAGTTCAGCAGCACTGGAAGGTCGTGGATTGCCTCCCCCTGTCCATGCAAACCACTGTCCCCATTTCTACTCATCTTGCCAACCCCAACATTTAAAAAGTTACAGAAGTTATAGCCCATCTTCAACTTTCTGGTCACCTGATTATATTCAAGATCTTGTTTTTGGTGTCTTCTCACCAGAGCAATCAATATCACAGCTCTCAGATGCAAGAAAAACAATGCTCACCTTCAACGCAGTATTACAGAGATGTCCCTCAAAAGCATTTTAGACTAGAAAAAAAACCAGGCATATTTCTGTTGCATAACTTAAGAAAAATGAAAAAATAGGATAAACTTAGCAAGACCTATCCAGAGACAAGATGGCATCCACCCATGATCTAAGCCAGAGGAGAAAATAATGCATGGATTCTGATATTAAGACTGTATTATCTTCAGGTTACAGGGCACAGATGAATTTTCTTTACAAGTTAAAAGCAACTGATTAAAGAATAGCAAGGCGATCTCAAGTCATTCCTCTGCTAGCAATATACAGTATCTTCTAGATTCGCCCAATCATGTTGTGTCAGAGCAACAGAGAGGGGTACCAGATTGATCACATCTTAATCATGCTATGAAGATGTTGCAAATCACTGGTAGGGAAATGGACCTGGTACACCAGCATTAATTGGACAGTGATCAAAAAAGTGTCATTTCTAAGAACTTTAATCAACAGCCAACAGAGCATATTCTACATGTCAGACCAGTGTTTCTCAACCTTGGCAGCTTGGAGATGGGTTCTCGGAGTTGAGGTCCACCCATCTTCAAGTTGCCAAGGTTGAGAAACACTGAGTAAGACTGTTCCATGGGAAGGGCTTTGGGGGACAGAACACCCAGAACTTAATTCACATGTGAATGGCCCATCTTTACACCTCTGCACTTGATGTGATCAAAAAGCAAAACCATGGTGAGATGTCTACAAGCAAAGACCCACCTATCAACTCTTGAGACATACCTACCTGAAGCTGAACATCTATTGTTTCGACAATGGTTACCCCAAACCCCACATAAAACAATCTCAATACGACTGGGAAGTCTTCCCCAACAGAAAGTAAAGAGGATTAGGACATTTAATTTTTAAATTGCTAACTGGAAAACTGAGTTTCAGGTAGCCATGCATAAAAGCTCCTATTTTGATTGGCACCCTGTCGTTTTTCAAAGAAAGCTAGGGGCACCGAAGGTAATTTGAAAAGGGATGCTGTTATAATTTCTATCATTAAATTAGATGCATTTTTCATATTATAAAAGTACAGAAGCCAATGCTTGAAATGTTAAATATTTGTACATTACAATACATTAGAGCTATGAAATGCAGCCTATTATAAATCCCTTTAAATATATTGCTCAGGTACAAGATGTGAGCACACAGCTATAATTGCTTTAAAATGCTTAAAGGCACATTACCTATAACCACCAATTATAACCACTGTTTTTAACAATACTCATAAATTAAGAACTCAACGTGCTGGAAGTTACTTATTGTTACACCACAGTCCTGAAGTAGTACAGGAGTGACACAAACAGAAGATACAGATTTATCAAACTTAATTATCAATGCACCAAGGTCCATCACAGGAATATTTAAAAGTTCAATTTAATCCTCTTATTGACAACTACTTCTGCCCTATAAATGTTCATTTCACCTTCCTGACATTTAGAGCAAACCGCACACAGGACAATTTCTCTCCCAAAAACTAAGGCTCGATATATTATATTTTCTTTTAAAAACAGGGTACTCTGAAGGCTGTGCCTTTCAATTTTTTATTTTAATTTCTAACTAAAAATAGAGAACATGAAGCATTTGCAACTTCTGGTTGCACGCTTGTATGTATGTATATGCTACATTTTCTTTAAATATTCACAGGCCAAAACTGAACCCAGGCTGGGAATATGAAGTATTTATATCACGAATCACTTATGCTTGCGAAAGCAATATCCAATTTGGCATGATACTGTGGACGTTAAACACAAGTCTAATCGTCTGAATTCTTATTCTTCCTTTGTTTATGCTTCAAAGATTCATTGGAGAATTCAGGGAATTACTTTCCAGGACTTCTTCATTAAGATGAAAAACGTAAACATGTTACTTAATTATCAATGCACCAAGACCATCTCACAGTTTACAAGTTGGTTAAAATATTAATACTTAGAAAGGAGCTGAACCCCATTGCTAAAGCCCCCTTTTACACAGAGGATATGCTTGCAACGAAGACGCAACTGGGTTGGAACTCTAGCACAGTGTTTCTCATCCTCGGCAACTTTTAAGATGAGTGGACTTCAACTTCCAGAATTCCCCAGCCAGCTATGCTGGCT